ACCCCCCATATGTCTTGGCACAAGTACAACCCACCATATGTCTTGGCACAAGTACAACTCTTCATATGTCGTGGCACAAGTACAACCCCCCTATGTCTTGGCACAAGTACAACCCACCATATGTCTTGGCACAAGTACCACCCCCATATGTCTTGGCACAAGTACCACCCCCCATATGTCTGGGTACAAGTACCACCCCCATATGTCTTGGCACAAGTACAACCCCCCATATGTCTTGGCACAAATACCACCCCCCATATGTCTTGGTACAAGTACCACCCCCATATGTCTTGGCACAAGTACAACCCCCCATATGTCTTGGCACAAATACCACCCCCATATGTCTTGGTACAAGTACCACCGCCATATGTCTTGGCACAAGTACTACCCTCCATATGTCTTGGCACAAGTACAACCCCCCATATGTCTTGGCACAAGTACAACCCCTCATATGTCTGGGCACAAGTACCACCCCCCATATGTCTTGGCTCAAGTACAACCCCCCATATGTCTTGGCACAATTACTACCCTCCATATGTCTTGGCACAATTACTACCCTCCATATGTCTTGGCACAAGTACCACCCCCAAATGTCTTGGCACAAGTACAACCCCCATATGTCTGGGTACAAGTACCACCCCCCCCATATGTCTTGGCACAAGTACCACCCCCATATGTCTTGGCAAAAGTACTACCCTACATATGTCTTGGCACAAGTACCACCCTCCATATGTCTTAGCACAAGTACCACCCCCATATGTCTTGGCACAAGTACAACCCCCCATATGTCTGGGCACAAGTACAACCCCCCATATGTCTGGGCACAAGTACCACCCCCATATGCCTTGGCAAAAGTACTACCCTCCATATGTCTTGGCACAAGTACCACCCCCATATGTCTTGGCACAAGTACAACCCCCCATATGTCTGGGCACAAGTACAACCCCCCATATGTCTGGGCACAAGTACCACCCCCATATGCCTTGGCAAAAGTACTACCCTCCATATGTCTTGGCACAAGTACCACCACCATATGTCTTGGCATAAGTACAACCCTCCATA